CGTTTTGTTGGCTGGTCCACTTGTAGCCCACTTGTCGACAGATGTCCAGGGACCCCAACATCCGCCGCGGCCCTTGTTAATCCGCGCGACTACCGATGCGGTATAAAATTTTTATTCGTTTCTTTCACCATATTGTATGGGTTGGCGGGTTTTTTTAATGGGGCCAGGTTGCCAACCTGACCCCAACCCTCCTCCTTTCTCATCTGGGCTTGGGACCAGCAATGGCGCAGTTGTTGTTGTTATTGTTGTTGTTGTTGTTGTTACTATTCTTATTCTTATTATTATTATTATTATTATTATTGGGTTTCAGCCTGACAAAGAATATAGTCAAGCCAGAATTCATAGGAATAGTTGTTTTGTCATGAGCAATTGGGTTCAACTGAAGGCGATGTCTGCTGCCATTTTCTGTTACTCAACTCTCTTTTGGGAAGTGATTTTTCTAGTTAGCCCAGCATCCTTTTAAGTTTTGTTTGTTGCTTCACACATTTAGATGGGAAGCAGCAATCCATTTTGAAAAAAAAAATCAAGAAACATTCTGCTCCCACTCAAATTGCTGTTGATATGTGAAAGGGTTCAAAGAGCTGTGGAATTTTGCCACAACCACCACATTTTGTCAAGGTTGGGAATGCATTTGTGATATTGGGAGCTACCTCAATGAACAGAATGCAAACAAAGGTTTTGGTGCATGTGGCAAGCATGAATCATCCCAATACATCCCACTATTGAGTTCAATTACTTTCCTTCTTGAGACAGCATAAAATAATAATGGCATGAAATGTGCTGTGCATATTGCTAACCTTATCCTGCCTCTCACACTACTGGTGGGAGGGTGGCACCATTTTGTCTACTCCACTCTAGCTTTGGCAGCACCCAAGGACCAATGTGAGAACTTGCTTTACATGCGGTCCAATCTTACATTCCAGCACTTGCATTCTCATTCTCTGGCAGCCAAGGAAGAAGGCAAGTTTGTCACAGCAGGATGGTATATGGAAAATGGCAGGCGGAGCCTGTATTTTGTGGTGTTGCAAACAGTGGAAACAATGGCATAATGTAAAAAATATCTTGAGACAGCAAAGGATGCATTTTTTATTCCATGTAACGGCTCCTTATGCTTCAGACTGATTGAAATTTAGTCTAAGCAGATGCTTCTGATTATGAAGTATGCAGTCTGAGAAGATATTAAATGAAAGAGAAAAGAAATTGCAAAGAAAAAAAGTAGGAGTGAGTGAGCAGTGATCTCAAAAGAAAACATTTCTGGCTACATTCCTAACATTCCTTCAAGCTTAATTTATACTTATTGCTGCATTTATTTGTTTTACTAGGTTTATAAGCCACTCCAATCATTCTCAGCAATGTCTTCAAAAAGACTTCCAGGGAACAAATAGTAAAGTAAAGACAGCTCCACAATGACTATGATGGAATGAAGATTGGGTGTCTAGACTAATTCATTCGTAATTCCTTTCTGGACAAAAAGAGAACCCACAAATGTTCCACACAGTTCCTCCTAATGAGGAGACCACAAGATAGTGGTGGATTTAGAGTTTTGAGACATGAGAGAATAAATATCGTGCTGAAACTGTGGTTGACACCTTCAAAGGACGCTGGGTTTGTATACTTCCTTTTCTAATCACTTTTGGAAATAGCTTGTTAACTGCTTTTCAGCTATTAGGAACCTCTGGATTGATATGTTTTACAATACTGGGTGAGTTTCCTTTCAACCTTAGTGAAGAATGTATTTAAAAACAAGTTTAAGTACATTTCTTTTTGTTTTGTAATAAACAGCAAGAGTGATTAGAATTTTTATTTTGGGAAGATACAAATAGACTAAGGGTCCAGATGGATTTGAAATAAGACTTTGGAATTAATTATAAGAATCCTTCCTATGTGAAATGCCTTTGTTTTGAATTCTCTTAAAAAAAGAAACATGATAGGATAAAACTTTGAAGACTAGATGCTAAAGAGAATCAGAAGGAACTAAAGTTATAATTAAAGAGAATGACATTTAAATTTGACTTACTAGTTCAGAATACAACATAATATTTTAATATTACACATTTTGAAGGATATTTTTGAGCAATGGACCCAGAACTTAATTTTAAGAGAAATAGACATATGCTCTAGAGAAACTCTGTTTAAAAGATGTGGAAGGGGAACTCATTTTACTGGATAAGGCTGAGACTGATCCTAAAGTAGATTTAAAAGTAGATTTAAAAATGACAGATTATAAGAATGATATAGGAAAAGATGCTACATTGGATATATCAATAAAACTGGATGATATTGTAATACTGTATTTAAAAAGGATATTCAAAAAATAGACCGAAAGAATGATCTGGATAACTTTCCTTCATTGGATTTACAAAAGAGGTTTACTGTTGAAGAAGAGTTAGAGTACTTTGAAGAGTTTTGTGGAAAAAACAAACCAAAAAAATGAAAAGAAATCAAGTTTCAGGACATTATATAAAAGGAGCAAAGATCAAGAATGAATAAACGGTAAGGTTTTCTCTGGTGACCCTTAATGCATTTGTGCTGATCAAGACTGAATGATGAGGCTTTAAGGATATGTTTAGAGATAAGTAATGGGATATGAGAAGAGATCATTTATTATATTTTAATGTGGTAAGTTACTAAAATTGTTTGCACTTTATATATTTCTTTTCTTTTTATTTATTACACTTTTATTTTTTATTTCCTTTTGATTTTTTCTTCTATTTTTTATTTTTTGCACTTTCTTTTTCTTTTCATTTTTCATTTTTTACTTTGTATTCGTTTTTATTTTTAATTGTAATTTAATGGTTTGTTTTTTTTTAAAGAAAAACAGAAGTACTATTTGCAGAGGAAGTAAACTTGAGAAATTGCAATGTTGATCTTGACACCATACTTCATGCCTTGCCTCTGCATCCTCCTAATTATAGCAATAGCACTTAGACTCTAGAGAGAGTGCAGAGAAGAGCAACAAAGATGATTAGGGGACTGGAGACTAAAACATATGAAGAACGGTTGCAGGAACTGGGTATGTCCAGTTTAATGAGAAGAAGGACTAGGGGAGACATGATAGCAGTATTCCAATATCTCAGGAGTTGCCACAAAGAAGAGGGAGTCAAACTATTCTCCAGGGCACCTGAAACCAGGACAAGAAGCAATGGGTGGAAACTAATCAAGGAGAGAACTGAGGAGAATTGAGAAGAAATTTCCTGACAGTTAAACAATTAATCAGTGGAACAGCTTGCCT